AGGGAGGGAGACAAAGAGATTATAAAGTCAAGGTCTAAATGTGCCTGTCATTAAAAATTAAGTGGCAGATTACAGCATGCAGGAAGCATTAGCAAAACAATGCAGCAAGAGACAATTCCACACAGGGACAAGCCTGGACCAGGCAGGCAGGGAGGGGAGCTGGCACGAATCAGTGAAGCCAGGTCTACTCCAAGCTAGTCTGAGTATCAGGGAGAGAATACACCAGCCTCATCACTTCTGTGGGGCCGGCAGCTGTACACCTAGGGAGAATCGCTGGACCTCCTCTGGGCAAGTATAATGACCCCAAAAGAGCACTCCCCAGAGCGCCACAGGCCATGACGGGGACATCATGCAGAACAAGAGACCCTGCAGATACCTCCTCAGCTCAGTCAGACTAGAGTATACTAGTATAGTAGGACCATACATGGCCTCCCAGAGCATCTGTCAAGCCCTTACATTGGTTAGCTCAGGCCTTACACTGTTCAGTGTTACAAAATGCAGAAATCCTGAACTGCTCTAAAACATGTGAAGAGCAAGCTCTATGCCGGAATACTACTGAGATCCTTCCACTCCACATGCTCTGATATCCAAGACAGGCAGGGGAAAAAAATGAGGACAAAGAGGGAGAACTGAGGTTTCCTAAGAAAATCTCCCCAGAAGGAAATGTTTAGAGATCTGCAAAAGAAAGTTAGCTTGGGAAAGAAGAGCTATACATGCATCTATTATGTTAAGCAGAAAAAAAAAAGGAAAGTCAGGGAAAAACTGACTAAGGGAAGGAGCAATGGGAAAGCAGCAGGCAATGTTTTAGAATACTGGTTGGGTTTTGCTCAAGTTAAATTGTTTCTTTGAAATTGTAAGCCTACATTCCTGTTAAAAATGAAAAAAATAATTGCATTACTCAAATTTATAAACATCCTCCTAATACAAAGTGGTTTGGCTACAAGCCAAATTGTGAACATGGCAACTGACCACACTGGGTGCCTATACTTCATTAGTAGATACTTTGCCACAAGTTAACCCAGTTATGCTCATTTGCACTACATGAGCAGGTTTGCCTATTGCTTTGTTCTAAACACAGATGCACAGAGTTTCTATATGCGCAGAACACCAAAAGGATTAGAGTCAGAAACAACAACCAGTGATTTACACCACCCATAGGGTGTGCCTTTACCTGTCACATTAGGTCTAGAAGGCAAGAGTATAACAAAGTTCTGAAGCTAAATTAAGGTGTTCACATAACAAAACAAGAGAGAAATCTTGATCTCTTGCAAGTGTTAGTCTGTAAATTACCATTCTCCCAATCACCCAGGTTAATGAATTTTCAACTAGCACCACCTGACCTTAATTGTGCCCTGTATAAGGCACCACGGGTGTGCTGACCTTAGCTGTGCTGAGCTTCGCTTTTGACACCTGAGACAGCAAAAGGCAACAGGAAAAATAAAAGCAGCATAAAACAAACAAACAGGGAGACCAAGGCATAACAGAACAGCTACCCCTGAATGGCAAGACCATGGAGAATCTTGCATTTGTCACTTAAAGCACACACAGCAAGCACGCATTTTGATGCCTGTTTTAGCATCCCAATTGAAATAACGTCTTCAAAATCTAACAAGCAAAATGAGACGTGATGAGATCATGTTCACTGCCCAGTTATGAAGAATGTGAACAGACGAATAAAGTATTCTTTGGGCAAACAGCAATTTTCAAAATATGAAGTGGACAGATGACCTACATTTTGGGAAAGGTGGTTTTTTTAAATCTTAGGTACACACACATGAAACAGAGAGGAATTTTCCTCATATCCATTAAAGACAATCATTTTCAGTGAGCAAATTAAACACTCAGGACAGGGAAAAGAATATTGTGCATCTCAAGAGGGGGAGTCCCTCTCATCTCACAGAATCAAATTAAATTTCCACAACCAGACACATATTCAGTCATACTTTGTTTACAGAAGAACTTTGAAACAGATCATTGTCCTTGTTCATCCTTGTAACTACATGATGTTCTTCTATGTGTCTGAAATTACTTACTGCATACTATCAATTCATATGTGTAACATGCATCTTAATGACTATCTGGAACTCTCAGAAATGCTATAAGAATAATACTATCTATTTTTTAAAACAACAACTGCACTTTTTTTTAAGCTGTTTTTCCTAAGAAAACGAACTTTTGCAACTGAACTCTTTTCCTATGCTGGTTGCTTTTGGATTGGTTAGCAAATTTCAGTCAAATATGACAGATCACTAGAAAGCTCAATATATTTTCAACTTCAAGAAATTGTTGTGAAGTTACTGGCACATGGTAAATGAGGGGAAAGGATGCAGAACTCACCCATTTTTAACCTGCCGAGCAGTTAGCCACTGGCCAACCAGTACAACATCCTGGCTGGGTGGTCAGCCTCAACGTCATCTCCCTGCTTGCTGAGAGGGATGAGACAAGGGTGACAAGGGGGGAGAGAGCTGTTGCAGAAGGGGAAGGGACATGCTGGACAAGTCTGTTCATTCTGTCACTTGCAGCAACCTGCCTGTATGAACTTCTTAAGCCAGCTTTGTCACCAAAGTGCTGTGGAATAACTACCTCTGAAATAATCATTTGGAGACTAATCTGCCTAAACCAGCATGTCTCAGTATCACTGCAAGTACAGCTACCTTTTAATGTAAATTACAATTTTTTTCAACATTGTTGTTTCCTTTCTTGCCCCATAGTTTAACTTTTCCACTGCCAGTCTGATTTATTAGTTAAAGTTCCTTGGGCCCGACCTGTACAGGATAAAAAAAAAACCCCATGTACTGTAGTTTCACTGAAGATAAATTTGTCACCAATTTACTCAGAATTTTTTATCATTCTTTCAGATTATAATTTGACATGGTTCATTTCATTTGGATTCTTGGAAGTTTTAGGGCAATCCATTCACCTGTGTGACACACAAAGAAGAGAAATACAGCTTTTCTTGGATTTGTGTATAGAAAGGAATTCAAATTGATGAAATCTTGAAACATGGATGGCCCTCAACAGGGAGCAGTCTGAATATTTTATTTTTAAAATGGCTTTAATCAGATTACATAAGAATTCCTAGGGGTTATTTAAATGAGCAATTGCCAGCAACATTCCAGACTTGATAAGAACGACAGTGATCTCACTGTGGTAAACTTCAAACTTCTCTCTAAAAGCTCACAGAGAGTGTAGCAGCAAAATTTTCACATTAAACCCAAAACTTTAGCAAACAATAACATTACAGTTCTCATAGCAGCACTCTTTCACCTCTGTCAGATATATGCTAGACAGACTCAAGTGCCCTGTCTTTTGCATCTAAGCTGCTCCTGCAGACACGATGCACCCTGTACACGTAAACAAAGCATCTGCTAATGAACATGCACCAGGTGTTGCACTCATGCAGTAGAAAAATTTGGATCACAATTAGCAAGCTACATTCTTGGGCTGAGTACTACATTACCATTAGAATCAGACAACTTCCAAGCCAGCAGGCACTGCAGAAAAGTTATGAATCCCAAAGAATGCAGCCATGTCAGCTTTCACATTGTGCCACATGTGCTTTCTTATTTGAAAATGTGATGTCGTGTCTTATTTTTATTTATTTATCTGATGCATCAAAGCCAGATGTAGTGACTCGTGGGTTTAGTTTTAAAAAGCTTCTCTAGCTTGAACTTGGGGTCTGGGAAAGATTAAAAACTGACAGGAGTGAAGATAGCTTCTCATAGCATCCTGCCAATGTACTTCCACATGTGACTGCCGCAGTTAATACTGATGCCATAGCTGTTCAGGAACCTGGAAATTCCTTTGCATCTGACAAAAAACCAGCTTAAGTAGCAATTCTGATGTGTTTGGAAGTATTCCCCAGGAACTACACCAGTCAACTACCACAGAAAGGACAGAAAACTAACCAAACCACAACAGACCCGAGCCCCAGGCTTCAATGGGTTAAAATCTTTTGTAACTCTCTACCAGCAACAAGAGATACCAAATCTGCCTCAATCCACAATTGCTGTCAGTTTTAGTACTTTTGCTTTTACCATATCTTTGGTTACTCTTTCCATTTCCACCAAATATAATAGAAAACATTTGAGTAAAAACTACTGGAGTACTTAAATAGATATACCTGCCCTCAGGTCTCAGTTATTCACATCTTTACAATGGAAAGATGTGGCTAGTTAACTGGAGAAAGATCTTAGTGAAAGAATTTCATTCAACTTGTTAACAGCTGATCTTTTTATTTTGTCTTTATTCAACATTAGTTAATAGGATTCTATGGGAAGGGCTGTATCATGCCTTCAAAGAACAGAGGACTTCTGTGCACACAGATAAAAGCAAGAACAGAAGGTTCCAGGGCTGAAATCCCTGAAAAAACAATTCCTGAAAAAAACAATTATATGGCAGCATATGTCAATAACATAGAGTAAAAAAAAAAGTAAAAAAATCCCACTCAAGACAGAGATGGAAAAGGTATCGCTCTATCTCGTACATTTGGTTGGGCGTTGGTTCTCAAAACTAAAGTCTTCTTGTTACCTTGCTGGATTCCTCCAGTTGAGTGCCTCGTTTCCAGGCCTCAGAGAACATGGAGCTGACAATACTTTGGGAACGGACATGTCCAGCTGGCTGGGTGTCAGAAACTCCACTGTCAGATTGATTGGAATGATTTGATTGCGATTCTGTTTAGAAGAAAGTTAAGAAACAGTTAGCACATGTTTCTGAATGCAAGAGTAAAGTCGATGTATTTATAATGCAACTCTGTATGACATTTATTGGTGACATTTGTTAAACATGTTATCCCATCAAAGGACATTGTTCCCATTAACTACTGCATAAGCTCTAGCTCACATCCAGGACATTTCTGTCTAGAAAACAAAACAGTGCAACAGATCCCTGATATTAACCAAATCTGAAGTTCCAGAAAGATGACAGTGTGTCAGATATGCTGCCAACTAAAACCAGACTGCAGTTGTATAGGTTCTGAAACACTCAACACCTCCTGCACTTTGGGAAAAGTCCCATTTCATGCAACGCACGCAGCCTGCTCTCTCCAGCACAACCTTAGAAACAGACACTGGACATAGGCTGAGGACAGGCAAACTACGCTAGCCAAGGCAACAGTCTGCTTCTGACTGCTCCATTCCTCAAGGGAAGAGAAGGAATGATGCACATCTTGCAACTTGCAAATACAGATGATGCTCTGGGTCCACAGGGTAACTTGAAAAGACAGCAACAGCCACTGCCAGACCGATTTATCCAGCCTGGCACCTACTTTCAGTGTAGTCCCAAGCTATCCTGGGGAAAAAGACCATCTAGGCACAGGCTGGACTGTGGCTCTGGCAGAACCTGCATGGCCTGTGGGCTGTGGCTCAGCTCCCCACCACCAGAGAAACTTTATCAAAAACCACCCAGCTTGGATGGAAAAAATTGTTAGTAACTGAGAATTTACTGCTACACCCGGCAATCTGTCCCACACAGTCGAAAAAACATGGTGCCTTCCCAGTTAGGTTGAATTTGCTTAGCTCATTTTCACAGGCTAGTTTCTGAACCTTTCCAATTCAGTAGCATTACTTCCTGACCTGTATTTGTGATGGACAAAACAGTTTCACACAATAACCTGTTTTCAATAATGAAACTTGCTGCTGAGGGTTCAGAATAACCTAGCAGAGCATCAGTGAGATCTCAACAGTGAAATTAGACTATATAAATCATTCATCAATTTTTAAACAGTTATGTGCTAGTAAAAAAAAAACAGTCCTGGTCCTGCTGAGAGGTAAACAGGAGCATATTACTGCAGGAATG